GGCTGCACAAGCCGGCGTTCGACTGCGGGGCCGTGACGGAGATGTACAAGTGCGGGTGCGCTGACGCGGATGCCGAGGAGGAGGGGGAGGGGAAGGGGAAGGAGGAGAGGGTGGGGGAGCCGATGGAGACGGCGGGGGTGACGGCGGGAAGGCCGCTGACGGCCGCGGAGGGGGTGGATTTGCTGGAGGTGAATACGAGGAGGGCCGGGGTGGAGATGCAGAGGGATGGGTAGGTTGCTCTTGCGGTTGTTTTTGTTGGTGGTGGTGGTGGTGTTTTTTCTTTTTCTTTTCTTTTTCTTTTTGCGCGGGGATTGGGCTGACCTGGGGGGTGGGGGTAGGATGATGAATGGTGGTTAGAACACACACAGCAGTAGAGAGGGATGGGGGGGATGTAGAAATAGTTTTTTTTATTTTTTATTTCTATCGTTTGTGCGGCGATTAACCTAATAGGATCCAAGGAGTTTTTTGTCTGGTTCTTGTTCTGCCCTTTTTTTTGCGGTTTTTCCAGCGTGTGGTGCGTGTTATCAAAAGCCGAAAAGTTAGCTGTAGGTGGATCCCAAGATCTGATAGGTTGTTGCTGGGACATGGGCAGTCACTCGTCTTTTTGGTGTGTGCTGGTTGGCTGTCATTGGTCCCGGTCCCTTGGCGATAGGCTGCCGTAATGTAGAGCTGCAACACAGTACACTCGCCGAGCCACCAACGCTGCGGGCGTGGGTAGGGTTGAGTCAGTCAGATTTTATTGCGATTGGTGCCTAATTGGTACTGCCCATTCGATCCTTCTGCAGATATAGATCTGGATATCCCCATGGCTAGTTGGTTGCCCAGATCGTAGATGCAACCGCTAATGCGGTGCTCGATCCTGTATATGTGCGGATGGTATGGCTGCTGGTTGGCTTGTGAATTGAGCGCACGTTGGACCGGAAGTGCTCCTTTCTCGCGGAGCCATTGGTTACCATTCGTCAGGAGAGCTCTCATCAGCGCCATTGTGGATGGTGGCTGGCTTGTATAATGACGTACACGTGCACGGCTGGCGGCACCAATTGAACCTAATCCTCGCTGTACTGGCCCGGTAGTGATATATAGTGCTGCTCTGATTCGTAGCTTAAGGAATTGTATGTTAGTGGCCGGCTAGCTAGGCTGCAAGTGCAGTGACCGGTTCCCGGCACGCCGGCCGCGGGGAATGGTAGGGTGTTTTCTAGTAGGGTAGGGTAGAGTAGAGATATCGTACTGAGAAGGTGGTCATGATGCTGCTGTGCGCTGTACATGTTGAGGGGCGGTATGTGTGTGCTATGTGCCGGAGTATGTAGATATATCTCTTGTGGAGCCGGAGAATCGGGAGGGGGGGGGGGGGTAGATAACACCGGGCGTTGGGCGGGGTGCTCTGGCTAAGGAAAATAAAAGCTGGAGTGAACTGGGGCATGGACATTGTTGGTGCCCGTGGTATGGATTGTTACAGAGGGACGGGGGAGGAGGGTTGTGTCTCATTGCAATTGAGTCAGAGGTGGGTTGTTCACCGTACATATTCTACATTCATGTATCCTATGATTTACGGCGCCGGTCACGGTTTTTGCTCTACGTACTCGCTAGGGTGGAGAAATACTGGGTTATTTTTGGTATTTTGGGTTGAGGAGGAAGATATTCTACCGCCTTTTTTTTTTTTTTATTACACATGACCCTGAGATTTTGTGCTGCATTCTGTAGTGGTGTTTTCAGCGTGCGAGGACGAGGGTGGGTGGGTACTAGGATAGCGTTTACACGGCGAAGCCGAGCTCATTACGGGGAGTCGAGAACTACGGAGGCCTACCCCCCGTGACAAGGCATCACTTCCACTGTCCGCACACCTAACAGTCAGCCCTCTCTACGCAACCGCTCAGTGCATACATAGCCAGTAGATTGCCCGAACCGCGCCTTAGGGCAACCCAGCCATACTATCGGCGAAATCCAGGCTTAGCACTCCCCACCGGCGCTATATAAGACGCCTCTTTCCCCCACCAAACGTTTTTCCTCAGGGAGCAGGCAGCTCTCTAAGGACTACATAGTAGTCTGGGAGCTGCCTCCTCCCCACTCCTCCTCGGGTCCCTGGCCCCCCTCCCCCCCCCCCACTCTCTCCCCCCCCCCCCAAACTCTCTCCCCCCCCCCCCCCCCACTCTCTCCCCCTCTCCTGCTCTCAGAGCAGGAGAGGGTTCCAGAGCGTGGGGTTAGAACTCCCCCCCGGTCTCGCTTGGGCACTGTTGCCCTAGAGACCGCGGGGGAGTTCTGACCCCACCACTCTCTCTCCCCTCCGCCCCTCCTGCTGCTGCAGGAGGGCGTGACACCAGCCTCCCTTGGCCCCGGGCGTAACGCCCGAGGCCTTGGGGGGCGCGGGTCACGTTAGTCCTCCTCTTAACGGAGGGGGTGGCGGGGAGAATTTGGCCTCTCCTGGTCCTGCGCTGCAGGACTGGGAGGGGCCTTTTTTGCGTTGGGTCTCCCTCCTCGTTTGGGGGGGGGGGGGGGGGGGGGTGAATTTGGCCTCTCCTGGTCCTGCGCTGCAGGACTGGGAGGGGCCTTTTTTGCGTTGGGTCTCCCTCCTCGTGGGGAGGGGTGAATTTGGCCTCTCCTGGTCCTGCGCTGCAGGACTGGGAGGGGCCTTTTTTGCGTTGGGTCTCCCTCCTCGTGGGGGGGGGTGAATTTGGCCTCTCCTGGTCCTGCGCTGCAGGACTGGGAGGGGCCTTTTTTGCGTTGGGTCTCCCTCCTCGTGGGGGGGATGAATTAGGCCTCTTCTAGTCCTGAGGGACCAGGAGGGGCCTTTTTTACGTTAGGTTAGCCAGTCCCTCCAGTCCCTCCCGTCTCCGCTTCTGCTTCTGCTCCCTTCTCACGGAGGGGGCGGTAAGTTCGGCCCCTCTTGGTTCTTCGAGACCAAGAGGGGCCTTTTTTGCGTTGGGTCGTTTTGTTCCTTCCGTCCCTACTTCTGCTCCCTCTTCGCAGAGGGGGCTAAGCCTGGCCCCTCTTGGTCCTTCGTGACCAGGAGGGGCCTTTTTTGCGTTAAGTCTTCCTGTCCCCCGTCATTGCGGCCTTTGCTCCTTCCGTTATAGAGGTCCCTATCAATTCTTGGGTTCTGTCCGAGGGATTGAGAGGGGTCTCATTGTTTTTACGTTTCCTCTCCTCAGTCTCATTCTTCATACGAGTAGTCTACCCTTACAGCATAGTCTGCGCACGCGCGCATGCCGGGACAATAGGTTAGTAAGCAGCGGTAATGATCGCTGTGCATGAAATTTGATCTGGCGGTGCTGTGTTGTATATCCCATGCGAATACTCCCCGTAGATACTGTGAGACTTAAAGATACGTAGCAAGGAAAGATGACTGTATAGCGGGGTTATCAGAGCGACAATCGATGTCGCGTGCGTGCGGATCATTTAATCATGGATAATCACTCGCTCCCCCCGCTACGCGACTGGGTGGCCAATTACTATTTTTTGTCTACCAGTAAAATACTGACCCCCCAAAAGAAGTAAAAGTCGGTTGACTTTACCGGTAGATCTTGTTACCTCTCTTCCGAAATAATAAAAAACCTGTACAAATTTAATTTCTCTATCATCGGGGGTCAGTATTGATAAATCAAGAGATACTCAGGTGCTGTCTCTCTCGCTAACTAGAGCTCATACATTCCTTCCGCTTGTATTTCAAAGGGCTTTCTAGTTAGTCAGGTAAAGCTATATCATATTTCCCATTCCACGAATAAAAGAGTGTAGTGTAGCTCAAGTGGTAATTGAAGGCTGAGTGAGTAACGGCTACATCGTGATGGAAAAAACAATTCGATTAAAGATTTCACCAGAGAGGAGATAAGAAAGAACTATTCCAGTTTCGGAATAACGGGCCATGCTCAAGGAACACTGGCTTCTTGGTGCAAATGTTTGGGAATAGGGTCAATGATTGAAATGCACATAAATTGCCAAGTCTTGGATCACAGCTGCTCACTCGGCTCTCAAGCCTACTTCGAGACGAATGATTCATTGAGTACATGCAGATGAATGATTAATGAATTACATGCAGCCCTCTGACCTTGGTACTACATGCATATATCAAGGAGGTAAGACTGGCTGCCAAGGTTTGAATGACTTTTCTGACACCTGCGGTACACACCTAACCCTGTGTCGCCAACGAACCACAGGTGCCAGCGTGTACCCACGTGTGGTTGGTTATTCAGAAAGTAATAACCCTGACCCTGTCATGTCGCTCCATGGTTGAACCCAATCGGCGCCATGTTGTCCATTACGTCCTTGGCTTAACACGTTGCGAGATAAGATGTGCCTGGATCTAATCTATGCACCCTTTGAATCTTTCCAACACTCACAATAGTGAATCATCCTCGATCATCTATCATAGGAATGATCCCATGCGGAAGAAACGTCTAGCTGTTTAGAATAGCTGCGGAGTATGTGGGAGAAAAGACTCTGCCAAAAGAGCAAAACCAATAGAATGACTTCAATGCCCAGCTACGCAAGTTTACTTTCAGATTTTGCGAATAGAAGTTGTGGATACGCAGCAAGCCTTTATATATACTGTTGCGCAGACCGACATATACACATCTATACACATCTATAGATCTACATGTACATGTAGTTTACCCCATTAAACCCTTGAAAAGCGTGGCTATGGAGAAATGCTCCTAAAGAACACAATAAATTAGAGGCATCGATCGAGATTTGTAATTCACATGTTTCTGTTACCTACCAGTTTATCTACTTCATAATCGTTTTTTGCTGGGAAATTTTTTTAAATCTGTGTAATAGGCGAGCCAAGACCGAGTGATAGCTCATGAATACAATTCATTAGACACACCCACAACACCGTCCATGATCAAAAATACTTGTCACTCGGTTAAGCGTTGTGGCATTAAAGACATAGTTATCATCAGCTTAATTTTTTAACACGTGTGCCCTAATTTGGTATTTATCTTGGAGCAATCGACATCATCCCTCAGCAGCGCACTACCATCCCCGCCGAAATGGATCCATCCATCATGAACCTCATCCCCGTGAAACCCTTCCACGGGAGATCCGATGAATGCGTCGACGATTTCATCGAGTCTATCAACCTATACTTCTCCTCGCGCCCCATGACAGAACTCTACCCCACCGAGGAGCAACAAAACAGGGCAAAGCTAGTCCTCCTCAAGCACAAGCTCATGGGTAAAGCTGTCACATGGGCATTCTACCGGCCCGATGATGTCCGGCTTTCGTGGGAAGAGATGAGCAAAGAACTGAAGCAGGAGTACGATGGCCCTAGAAGAAGAAGACTGGAAAAGATGATAAAGGCAGAGAGAGAGATCATCGTGTTGAGGCAGGGAAAGCTCTCTCTGAAGCAATATATTAGAAAGGCCACTCGCATAAGGTCTCATTTACTTCGATATGAATCGTGGGACCACGCTGCAGCGAGGTGTTTCATCAGGGGTATCGAGGATATGAACACTAGACTCCGTGTCACTCAAATCGGCGGCTTAGTACACGTACCTGATTCGTATACACTATCTCAAGCAATTGAGGCTACCAGATCTTTCCTAAGACAACGCAAGTGGGAGGAGCAGGTGAGAGGGGGTGGAGAAGCCCACGCGTACGAACCGTCAGACTTGAATGCAGAGAGCAGCAGTAGCAACGATAATGACGAATCAGTAGGGGAGGGGGGGGAGCGGAGGGAACACCAGGGGAAGAACACCAAAACTATTGCCATCACGGAGGCAAATCTTACAGATTTTAAGAGGATATTGCAGGATGTGTTGCAACCCATCAGAGAAAATCTAAACCGGATCGAAACGAGTAGTTACCCCGCAACATATCCACCGGCAGTTCAGTAAGAGGGTCAAGAAAATATTCCCGATCAGACCCGGCCTTGTAGATATCATGACCAACCACCGATGGGCTGCCAAATGCCAAGTAATCGGTGGCCCAGTACGCAAATAGCTGTAGACCGTCGAATCGATCACAAGCACCATTGTATAGTAGGCGCCCTTCATAGGACGCAGGCGCAACGCGCGTTCTAGGCGACTAGTATAGATCCTCGATAATGTGTTAGAGGCACTTGGGGCATGTAAGTGTAATGTACTTGTAGCTTAAAATTGGTGTCAAGTACAAGTATTGAAGCTAAGACTTGAGTATCACGCATTAGCACAAGTAGCTTAGGATAGAAAGAATGGAAAAGGTCTAAAATGACACATTTTCGGTAGACGTGCTCTACAATAAGACATGATGCAAGATGACACAGTTCACGATACGACCCGGATGGCTGAGCATTGACATTGAAGGGTTAGGGGTTCTGCTTCATCTTGGCACACCGCCAAGGTCAAGTACCACTTCCACCGCAGCATCCACCATGGGCGGGTGGTCTAGTGGTTAGACTGCTCGTCGGGTTAGACACCGTGTGTTTACCCAGGACACACACAAGGTCCTGGGTTCAAACCAGGGGTGGGGGTAGTAACGCACAATCAGCAATAAGTCGTTGCAGTACCTTTTGTTCAGTTTTATGTTTGGTTTTTTAATTTGGAGCGAAATAAAGATTTCTCTAGAGGAGGAATTTGAAGCTAGGGGTGAGTGGTGGGGCTGGGAATTGACCCTTATTGCTGGTTTTGCCCGATGTCTTTGTGCTCTCGGCGTGAGGTTGAGTAGATTTTCTATTTTGGATCATAGCCAACTGTTTCATGTGTTGTTATTGCAGAGCATGTATACTCTACCGAAAACTGTGTTATTTTTAGACCATTTTCATAGAAATAAACATAAGCAGCAACGGCACCATCATAAAGGAGTACATCTTTTCCATCTTTTTTAAGCTTTGCATTAATCCACCTTAGTTAACGATCCTTCCCCTATCTAGTCATATCTTGTTTTGAAAACGCCCTCATACCCACCGTAAAAGGCAAATTAATTAAACTTGTGACAGTTCGCCGAGACGGTACTTGACTATTGGGCGTTGAGGGTACATACCGTTAATTCTTGAGAAATCCACTATCTCCACTTCACTAAATCTTAATTCCAGGTGAGAAAAAAGTACATACATGTATGTATCTGCACGAATCCGTGAAGTTTGATACGCCAATTCGCCTTGGTTCGGACTTACCACATACAAATACGGAGATAGTGGATTATTCGAGAATTAACGGTATTGAATAGCGAAATATGTGCCTTGGAGCTCTTTTACAGAGTTTATTCATGTAGTGGGATATAAGATATCGATATAGAGAACGGGACAATTTAAAAGTCGAAGATGATTACCGTGATCTATATACACTAGGACAACCTGCCTCAAAGGACCGCATGCCTGTCTGCTAGTGTATTCTACTCCTTTACTCCAAGTATCATAATCCTGAATATGAAGTCTTAATTAAACAACTTCCACCTAGGAATCACAACCAGCACAGCGAGGAGATCACAACTTCAAAACCAAAGCCAAGTACGTGAAACAATCGTAGATCAATTGCAAGCAAGTCAATTGACTAATTTCATTCCTATTATACTTTCGTTTGCCTAGACCACTATTCAGGCCCCTAACCTCCCCACCACCACCACTAGCCACATTTACCACATCCACCACCACCACCACATCAAACCCCGCCCCACAACCAAGTACACCCCCAAGTATCTAGAAACCAGTCCACCCCCCCCTCCGTCCAGGAGGAGAGAAAGAAAAGAAGTGCAGTAAGAAGAAATGCAACAAAAAAACCCAAACAGCCACCCGTTCCATGTAAATCATCAACTCATCGCCACCATATAGCCGTAAGTAAACCTTCTAACCCCACCACCCCCACCCCCAACCCACCCCAGCGCAAAGGGGGCCGGCGCAGCCGGGAAAACACCAACAGACCCCAGCTATGTAGTAGTATGATAGTAGTAATAATAATAATAATGCAAAGGACGAAAAGAAAGAAAGATGCAAGAAAAATGGGATGGATGGAACTAGATGATATCTAAGCATTCATGAAAAGCTTGAAGATGTAAAAGAGAAAGAAAAAAGAAGACAATAACACCTATAAAACCGCAAAAGACCACACCAGTATAATATTGTCAAAGAAAAGAAAGAAAGAAAAATATGAAAGCCGAAAAACTATTAAAGAATACAGCCATCCAACCCAGCCCAACCCAGCCCACGAGGGGATCAAAAGAAGAAAAGAAAAGAAAATCTTCTACCCAACAACCTCCTCGTCAGCAGCAGCAGCAGTTTCCCAATCATCAACGACATCCTCCTCCTTCGCCTTCTCCTTCCCCTTCTCCGTCTTCTTCTGCAGCACCAACTTCTTCCTCAACCCCTCGCCACTCCTCTTCTCCTGCAACCAGCTCCCGGCGGCCGCCGAGGGCTCCCCACCACCCGAGCCCAGCATACCGAACACATTCCTGGTGCTCAGACCCGTAGACACCAGTCTAGCCGGCGGCACGCCCTTATTCGACGCGACGGTTGACCACTGGTTCCCCTGCCGGCCGATCACTAGGCCGTCCTTTGTGACGGCGCATAGTTCCGCGCTGTCGGCGATGCCGCGCTGCGCGATGAGGCGCTTGAGCTTTGGGCTCATCTCCGTGAGCTCGAGCTCGATCTGCTCGGTACCGAGGCTGCTGGTCTTGGGCAGGAGGAGGACTTCCTCGTCGCCGGACCAGGTCAGGCTGAAGCGCAGCTGGGAGTCCTTCAGGACGTATTCCAGCTCCTTCTCGAGCTCGGAGGTGAGCAGGCCGACGCGGATTCCTTTGAGGAGGAGGGCGTTGAAGGCTTGCTTTACTGGTTTTTTGAGTTGCAGTAGAACTGATGCTGGCATGGCGCTAGGCATGGCGCTGGGCTTGCTGACGAGGAACTCGGCGATTGTTTTCCTGGGTGCTGCGACGAAGCTGGAGCCTTTGGTTAGGACTACGCTGCGGTACGGTTCTGGATCTTGAGATTCAGACTCAAGACCAAAGTCTGTAGCAAGGGTATGAAGGAAAGCGCGCTGGCTGCTCTTCATGGGTTGGAAAGCAAGACGCTTTGAGTTTCCTTCCGCAAATACCCTGTATTTGGCTTCAATGGTCGTTGAAAACTTCTTGTCTCTATTGTAGAAGAAAAGGGTTTCCTCAGAATACGGCGGTACCGCATCACGATCAGGATCAACGTCAAGTGCAAAAGCCATGCGACGGCTTCGGCATGCATCAGTACACTTAAGTTCCTTCTTGTTACCACCAGGGTTAGCTTTAGAGGCCCCGCATTTAATCTCCTGCTTCAAGCCGCCACAGGCGCACTTGAGCACGAGCTTCGCTGTGCATGGTTTGTCCTCGGAGCACTGGAAAGGAGCATGGCAGGCATCTAAGCATACATGCCCACAGACTGATTTTGGCTTTCCACATTGCTGCTTACATGGCTCGTCGCATTGTCCACCCTTGTGGCATACCTTGCGGCAAAGGTGGGATCCACATGAAAGTTTCCTGCCACATTCTGTTCCACAAGAGACCGCGTCCCTCCAACAGGGAATTGATTTGACTGATTTCTTTCCACATAGACAGATCTTCTCAACCAGATAAGGGCACTTCGGACAACTCTCTTCGTCGGGATGACAAGGGTGGGAAACCGCGGGATGGTTGCAGCTCTTTGCCCTTGTGCACTGGTGTTTACAAGCCGGGGGGCTGGCTCCGCAAGGAACTGGGGCAGGAGTAACTGTACGCCCACAATTACAGCTTAAATCTTCGAAGCTGGCTTCAAGACAGTTCCCACAGTTCCCACGATGACACAGCATGGGGCAAGTGTGAGTCCCGCACTTGAGTAATCTTCCACAAGGTCGAGTGCAGATATGCTCCGGCTCAATTCCTTCGTCGTTCGAATTAGAAGCCAATGGCCTCTTCTTCTTTGAAGACAACCTCTCCATAGCTTTCGACTCCCCAGAGCAGCATTTATCACCGCACTCATGTCTCCCACAGTTCAAAGCTGCTCTGCACGTGCGCATGCATTGCGGGGGTTCTCCTTCCTCGCCCTGGTGACAGAGACTGCTCGAACTAGTTTTTCCACAACGGCATACAATAGATACCGTCTTCATGCACATGCCGCAGTCTCCATCGTGGCAAGTCTTTTGACATGGATGCCCACATTTAAGTTCTTTCTGGCAGACCTTGCCGCAAGTAGGGATAGGATCCTCGCATGATTGACGAGGTGTATCGAGAAGCTTATTGATGTCGGTTTTGCCACAAGCGCAGGATTTGACAACGTCTGGAGATAGAGCGCAGTGCGCTGGAAGGACATTTTGAGAATGACAAGCTTTTTGGCAGCGATGTTTACCGCAATCAAAAGGCCTATTATTATCGTGTCAGTCAACGGGAGTCCAATATTGATGTGAAATTGCAAAGGGGATTTGACTCACCTGTCACAGATCTTTTCACAGTTCCAATACCCTTCCCATTGAGTAACACCCTGATCACCACTCTCAAAGCTAAGAACTGCTTCCTTTCTATCACAGCACTTGATGCTCTTCATATGGTTTCCGCAATAGCACCTCAACTCTGATTCTACCTGGCAAGCTCCACACGTCCCTGGGTGACAGACTTTCGGGCAGGTATGCTCGCCACATGGCATAAAGTCATCGCAAGGCTTTTGGCAGCTCCAACCCTCTTCATAGTTCGTGTCAACACATCGTCTTTGGGAGGTTTCGCTCCCGCAGTAACATTTCTTGACCGGCCCAATCGCAGTGCAAGGCGGACAAGGCCCAGCATGACATTGAAGATCACAAGCATGGGGGCAGTTCCTTGGCGAAGTTCGTGCCTTACCACATGTTTGTCCGCAACTAAAATCTAGTTAGTAAAATTCATAAAGATAACCCAGATTATCCCATTTTACCTGTGAGGTGAAATATTCTTGATGGCTTCCGGTTGTACTGTCTTCTCGCACCAACAGGTATACATATCTGGAACTTCATCTCCCGGATTGTTGCAAGCAGGACATTTCCATTTCCTCCTTGGCGGTTCGTCGTTCGCGTCAGAGTTCCTCGGTGGTGGCTGGTCCAGCCCTTGCTTTGCCCATTTCGTGATGCAATGCAAGTGAAAGACAGCCCAGCAGCACTTGCAATTCCAGATCTTCGACTTTCTGTTAAGCCCGCCGTAGCAGACCATACATTCGTAGGCCCCGCTGGCAATTTCCTTATGGATTCGAGTCCCGATATCGTCGGAATCTTTCCTCATGGTGTTGGCATGAACCCTCATATTCTTGACAAGGGGATTGTTTTTCTTACCATCTGGCTTGTATAACTCTTCGACCTGTTTTTTCTTATCCCTATTATTCGGGGATCTCTTGTTGTTGGCTCTTGGAGCAGTAGAGCCTGAAGCTTTAGGTCCACCCCATTCAGCTTGTGGCAGCATTGAAGTAGAGAAGTTCGACATACCGCGAAGATGTGGGGGGATAACCTCAGCCGGCTTCCCGGGCTCAAACGCCGTAGCTTCGGCTCTCAGTTTCCCACTATCATGCTGGGACTCTGCTGTATCCTCAGTTAATTTGCCACCAAACGCCCTAGCTGGAGGAACCACGCGAGCATCCTTTGGACGTTCAGCATCTGGAGTACCGGCCCGAGGTGAGGTTGGTTTCGATCCTTCTGAGGTCAGGTTTGCTCCAAAGCGCCTTTGTGGTTGCTGGCGGTGACGCTGATTAGGTGGTGAGCCATCGGGTGTCTCCCCGAGAATGTGACTTCCCTGGGGTAGAAAGGCTTGTCGTTGCCAGCTTCCCTCGCCACGGGGATTACTTTCGGCCCTAACCTCCCTCTCTTTACCTTTGCGCCTTCTGCTAGCCTGTCGTGGTCCAGTGGGTGGTTCATCGGACCTTCCAGCCGATCCCGGACCACCTGTGGTCTTGGATGAGGATTGCTGGTTGTTAGCTGGCGAGTCGGAACCCCTTCCATTCCGAGCATTGCTGGAGTTAGGGCTCTTCTTTTGCTGTCTCGAAATGCTTTCCTCCCTATGTGATTCCATAAGAGCTTGAACCTTTTCCGCACCAGTCATTTGTCTCAGGGCACTCGGTGGTGTTCCTTGTTGAGCCGCATTTGAGCTGACGTTGAACCCATTACTGGTGGACGCCTGAGGAACATTCCCCTCGCTATTGTTCAACCCCGACGTTTCCACAGCCCCCGAAACCTCTCCCCTCTCCGAAATCGGCGTAACTCTCCCCGACGAAGCCTCAGAGCCCTTCCCCTTCCACTTGTCACGTCCTGGCCGGCCCCGCCTGCGTCCGCGTCGATCCCCATCTGATTTCTGCGAATTGGCTTCCGACGGTGGAGAGGCCCCCTCATGCTGCTGCTCCTGGTCTGGCCGGGTGGGTATTGAGGGGGGCGCTGCTCCGCGTCTGCCCATGTTGAAGAACGCCACTCGCCCGCGTCCTCCTCGTCCGCCGCGGGTTGATCCTCTGTCTGCTGATGGGCCCAATGGCACTGGGGGATCGACGGTAGCCATGGGTGATGTACTCTCGCTCGTGGTGCTGTTTGGTGTAGCGATGTCCAGTGTGGCAATTATGTCGTGTAATGAATGGATGCTTGTAGTGATCAAAGTGAGTGAAGAAAAGAAAAAAAGGTTGTGGGAAAAGTAGTTTGGTTACAATCCTCTCTCCTCTGCGCAGTGCGAACCAGTGAATTGACAAGAAGGTTGCAGCAGTAAGGGTTGCAGTCCTTATAAGCGGATTGAGAGGAAGGTGTTGTTGGAGAAATAGAAGGAATGAAGGGAGCGAGTGAGTGAGCGAGTGAGCGAGAGAGACCTAGGAAAACCCTAAGCGCACGCACCGCACAGCCGGGCGTCACCGCCTATCGATCGTCCCTCCCTGCCTTCTTCCCTTTCCCCTGTCGACCACCCCCGACACCCCGCCGCCACCCCGCCGAAATACCGTGGGTGGGGGGCCTTGGCGATAGATGACACATCTCGCTAGATTCTTCTCTTCGGCGCTACCCGGGCTTTCCGAACGGATTTTTCTTTCTTTTTTTCTTTCTATTGTTAACCCACGAATAGCCTAGCTGGGACGCTGGGGAGTCATCGTCGAGTTGTTAGAATGACTGTAATCTCAATGGAATGCCCGTGCTACTTCGGATATAGGTGATAAAGTGCAACTGTTGCAATTGTCCAAGGTGATACATCCGTGCTCTGAGGCGGAGCACATGATGGGCACGGATTGGCTAATAAAGTAGGGGAAGATGAGAGGAAGAGAAGAAGAAGAGGAGAGTTGTGAGTTGTGAGAAAGTAACAGCCCAAGGTCTTTTTGGCCCGCCAGGTACAAGCACGTGATCTGTGCCCGCACCTCCCTGTTTCGGATATTTAAACATGTCCGGTATATTGAGCATTTGGTTCTTTTGGGCAAGCCAATTGACGGAATTACCCTGAGGCCACTGTTCAAAGAGCAAACGTCATTCATGGATGCTAGAGAAAGGTTATCAGAGCTTGAATCTGCATCACTGTCCTGGTTTCGATAAATTACAGCGAGAAATTCACCATATATCCAACTTGGTATGGACTATTGCCGGCGAGTGATATATGGTGTCTCACGTAGGTAGTTATTTCCCCCAAAATTCCGTCCGCTCCACCATGTCCATTCACTGATACTTTAACCACAGGACTTCTCCAAAACCAAGCTTAAGAAAAGCTTCCACCCCAGCTTCAGCTTCAGTCTTATATGACTAGAGTCATCCTCCAGACAATCCCAGTCCGGCCCACTGCAGCCAAGGTCTTGGAAGTCCCAAAACCCACATAATCTACAAACCTGCAGATTGATCCGCATCACCAACCTCACCCACAACACGGAGAACCTCCATGGCCGCTGTCCAACACTCATGTCCACAATGGAAGCCTCGTCACTGCCCTACCACGAGCCGTCAATCGTGCAAGTGCTCATTCTCTCGTCCTTCGGCCTCCTACTCAACATAACAAACTGGGCGCTCGAGCGCTCCATCTACTGCGGCCTCGTCGGGCAGATCCTCATCGGCGTCTTCTGGGGCACTCCACTCGGCGGATGGCTAGACCCGAGCATTGAAGCTGCCGTCGTGCAGTTGGGCTATCTAGGACTAATCCTTCTCGTCTACGAGGGTACGATTAACCCTCACCGCATCAGCGCATTTCCAGATATCTAACTAACCACCAACCCCCACAGGCGGCCTCTCCACCTCCCTCACCCCGCTCCTCCACAACCTCCCGCTCTCCACCGCCGTCGCCGCAACCGGCATCCTCCTCCCCATCGCCCTCTCCTTCGCGCTCACGACCCTCGTCCCAGGCACCACCCCGCTCCAATGCTTCGCCGCCGGCGCCGCCCTCTCCGCCACCAGCCTCGGCACCACCTTCTCGATCCTGACCTCCTCCGGCCTCGCGCGCACCCGCCTCGGCACAGTCCTGACCAGCGCGGCAATGATGGATGACGTCGTCGGCCTCATCATGATCCAGGTCGTCGCCGCGCTCGGCACCAGCTCCGGAACCAGCTCCATCAGCGGCGCCACCATCGGCCGCCCCGTCGGCGCCTCTCTGGGCCTACTCCTCTTCGTCCTGCTCGCCTGCCGCTGGATCGTCGCGCCCCTGCACCGGTCCCTACGCCCAGCACCCGCAGAAGCCTCCGCAGCGTCCCGCATCCCGCTCAGCGCCGGTAACCGCGCCTTCATCATCCACACTGGCATCCTCCTGTCACTCGTCACCACCGCTAGCTACGCCGGCACCTCCGTCCTCCTCGCAGCGTTCCTCGCCGGCGCGGCAATAACATGGTCCGACAACCTCTCCCCGACCACCACCACCACCACTGCCAGCGGGAACTGGACAGGCGCACGCGTATACGAGCACTACTACGCCCCCACCACGACCCGCCTGCTGACACCGTTCTTCTTCGCGTCGATCGGCTTCTCGATCCCCATCACTCAACTCTTCGCGGGCAGCACCGTCTGGCGAGGCATCGTCTATGCGGCGCTGATGGCGCTGGGGAAGCTCCTTACCGGCGTGTGGCTCCTGCGCTTCCGCGTCCCGGGGGTTGGGGTTGCGGAGAGGATTAGGGCGCTGAAGAAGCTTGGTCCTGCGGCGTGCACCAGCACCAGCGCTCCTCCCACCAACACCGGCACGCCTACCACCACAACCACCACGACGACCACCACTACCAACGACACCGCCGCCGCAGCACCCGCACAAAAGCCCAAATCGCTGTACCCGCCCTCCATCCTCGGGCTCGCCATGATCGCGCGCGGCGAGATCGGCTTCCTGATAGCGTCAGTCGCCGAAGCGCGCGGAATCTTTAGTTCTGGGGGGACAGAAGGGGCCGGGGGCTCGGAACTGTATCTGGTTGTGATCTGGGCGACGGTGGTGTGTACGGTGCTGGGGCCGGTGTGTGTGGGGCTGCTGGTGCGGAGGGTTAAGGCGCTGGAGAGGGAGCGGGTGGTGAAGGGGGGGAGCGGGGGTGGGGGTGTGTTGGGGAGTTGGGGGGTGGATGTGGATGGGCTGGCGGAGGTGGTAGAGGTGGTGGTGCCGGCGGTGGTACCGGCGGTGGGGAGTAGTTAGATTATTGTAGATTTTGTTATACGTAATGCACTTAGAGCAGTATTGTTTTTGTTTCCAGTTGGACGATTCAATGATAGACAGACATATAGATAGATAGTAAAATTGTTTTAATGATTATCGCGATAATATTGTTAATCTATTATGCTAAGTTTGTTAGCGGTGGTCATTATTTTATGTTCATAACAATCATTGACACACAATAATCGAACCCCACCAAATTTAAACCATGTGCACACCTCTATAACATCCACCCCACCACCCTTCTATCCCCCCAAATCTCTCACAAAACACACAACCAAACTATTTACCAAGCATTCTTCCGACCACACCGCTATTTACCCAACAATGATATCCCTTTTGCAAAAATGAAAAAAGAAAAAAAAAAACTACAAAAAAGGTGTAATAAAAAAAACAGAAATTAAAAAAGAAAAAAAAAAAAGAGGGAAAAAAACGCCATGCCAATACAAGTCCATCCCACAAAAAGAATTCCCAATCCCCCGCGCAATGCACCCAAAAGCCCCCACAACGGGTCTGTAATTTACATCATCCTCTCGTCCGTCGCCCTCCTAATCATGGTCCTCCGTCTCCCCACCCACACCTCTTCCAGCGGGCTGACCAAGCTCGGGTTCACAAACAGCCCGCCGTGCTCTCGGCGCTCGTCCAAAGTCCCTGTGCGCCCGTAGCCAAACCCGGTTGTTCCGTCGCCGCGGATCACCTGGCCTTCTTGGTCTGGGATGCTCTGGTTGACGTCAACGTCGGCTGGCTCGCGGATGGCGTGGAGCGCAATGAAGGAGTTGAGTTTGCCCCAGTCCGCCTCCCAGCGGTACATCCACAGGACGTTTCCGACAATCAGTGGTGCGACCATGGCGCTTCTCTTGAATGCTCCTTGCGAGGCTAGGAACCCTGCCATGGCGAGCTGGAAGATGATGAGCCCGATGACGACACGATAGAAGATCATTGACCACGCCTGCCCTGTGCTGTGCTGCGGATGGTCCATAGCGTAGAGGAGCTGGTACTTGTATGTGAAGTAACCAATGATGAAGTACAAAAAGCCAAAAAATAGGATCAATCTTCCGCGGGGAAGGATACTGTACACAAATGTGATAATCAACACCAGGATCGGCTGGGGGAGGAAAAACCCATATGAGAATACTGGTGGCCGGTTGAGCTCTGCGTGTTGGCGTGGACTCTTTGCGATGAGCTTAGTGATAGGGTATAGCGCCACTGTGCCGAACTCGAGGAGGCGGAAGGGGAACATGCCGATGCCTTGAAGAATGATCAAGTTGACGTAGAAGGCGGCAAGGCCGTTAAGGGAGCCGGCAAGGGCATAGGCGACCCGGGTGGTGTCACTGAGTGAGCCTTTAAGTTCGTCCCAGAGCTTCTCGAAAGTGAGGGCAGTGCCGAGAATGGTGAAGGCGATGAACAAGTTGAAGAAGGTGAAAAAGAAGTTCTTAGAGATTACCGAAAGCTCGAGTTCAGCTATCGATATGAAAGCTTGGTATGTTGACAGCCCTGAAAATTTACATATGTTAACGCACAGACGATCACTCGTGGAAGGGCGGTATACAAACATTCATAAAAGTACGGGACCGCGACGCTGAGCAAGGTCAATGCGAGAGTAGGCAAAAACGCTTGAACCAAAGACTCAACCCATTCACTTTTCTCCAACACTCTTGCCAACCACGGCCAGATCTTTTGGATATCGGCAATGTTCAAAAGTGCAGCCAACCCAGTAACCGGAATAAGCCAGATGATACTCAAAATACTGACGAAAACACTAATACTCCAACTCCTTAATACGCGCTGAATGCGGGACATGTATGTGTTTCTCCACACAATTGAATCAGGGGCCGGCGCTTGGTATGCAAGTAATGTTCCGAATCGGGGGTCCAAAACCGCCTGGATGGCGACCTGTGCAGAAGCCGTTGACGACATGGTTACAAATGCGATTGGAACTGGCTTGTACGTTTGATTTCTAGCAACCATGATCTTTTCGTCGAGAGTTTGAAGAAGCGCCGTATAGTGGTCAATCGAGTCTACGGTTTTGGTGTGCATCTTAAACGGGCCAAAGCGAAACGTATGCATTGGCCTATTCGTTTTATGAGAGTGAGGGCCGCTTCCATGCGGCGCAAGTAACGGAGCATCTTCACTGTCCGTACTACCTGGAGTTGAAGTTGCAGTCGGGAGCTCATCTGGGTCACTGTACAATGTTCGACGGAACCCATAATAGCTCGTATAAGCTGCCTCCAAACTCCTCAAAGCCCTATCCCTTTGCTCCATCAACTTATCCAGCTCCAGCCAATCCCGGCAGATTGTGACTGATTCGACTTTGCCGATATTGAGTTCATCAATATATTGGCGGAGGGCACTTTCAGACCGGAGTTCCGGGGGCACTCCAGAGAGGCGGATGGTCCTGTCGGTGATTGTCACTTGACCGCCAAGGTATTTCTGGCGAACCGCAATGACCTTCTTTGTGGCATCGATCAGGAGATATGTTGCGAGACCTGTAAAGATGTAGACGAAAAACAGGTATGACCAGAGGTACGGCCCATCCAGCTTCTTCGGCTTCCCTTCATCCAGATGTCGGTTATTGCTAAGAGCCCACATAGAGAAAGACGTGAACTTGATTTTTGAACCATCATAGTAGTACTGAATCGGAAGCAGAACCGTGAACGCGAGGATGGTAGCTAGTCCAGTGAACCGGATCGCCATCTTGAAGAACGCCAGGAACACATAAGCATCCAAACCCGCGGTGGCGAGCACCTCATCATCCGTGATTTTCCATAGGGCCGGAATCCAACCGAACAGCGTTTTCGGCAGGTCGGGAAGTGTCGATGCTGTACCATTTCTTGTCAGTTTCATATTCATGCGAAAGGCACGTGGGAGCTCCAACATACCACTGTAAACCTGTTTCTTACGCGCAGCATACAACGTCGACCATCGCGGCCGTAGAATGCAGAAGGCAATGAAAGCACCAATTCCAAAGGTTAATGAGATGGCGAGTTGTGTTGGAAGATCCTTTGCGCCTGTTGTTGTGAATGGCGTTCTGTTAGGACCCTTTGGTCGCAGAGAATGCATATCAAACAGAGTGGGGGGGGGGGGGGGGGGGTAAAGGGCTCAGTAAAAGAGTAGGAAGAAAAAGGAGAGCAACGTACGGGTAAGGTTCGCAGGGTCTTTAATATCAGTGTCGTTCTTCAAAAACACGGGGGTTTGAATTTGGTACTCCATGGCTGCCCATCCACTACTCCGGGCAGTTTTTCGTAAGTAGAAGTAGGAAGGGTGGTTTAGAGTGTAGTTAGTATGGAAGTAGTCTGATGTCGTTAGAATGGAATCGTGAAGTTGGGATCGATCTTTTTTTCCCTCTCTCTCTCGGAGGTCTTCCGGGGGGCGGTTGGGGCTGGCAGGCTTGCTTGCTTGATTGGCCTGCTGCAGCTGGTTGGTTGGCTGGAGTATGTGTGTCTGGTCCGTCTGTCGCGTAACAGCTGGCAAATGCGTGACCCTCCCACGCCAAGTGCTGCGTGACGACATACTGCAGCGGTGGCGCTAGGCGGGGGTTGTCAGGTACAAGCGATTCCCGACGACAACTGCGGTTTCTTCGACTGAAAAACGTTTCCCCACGTTCTGAATCTCAAATCGGCCCTGCTCCTCATTGGCGGCTTCCCCTCTATCCTTAACGGCCCCATCGCTATGAAATGTATCAGAACCCCTCTTCGGCAAACAAAAAATGGAGGCGGTCATCTACTCTCAAAAATGTTGAGATTTTTCTTTTAAGAAATTTTGTTGCTGTGCCCCCCCGCATTAACTACTCTGGAGTAGGTACATCAAGTACCCTAGCAGTGTCAACGGAACTTGGCTCTTCCGGAAAACATGGTCAGGTTTGCTATCGATACTGGCATGATAAAATCCTGTTACGAATATCAACTGGGCTTAAAACCCTCGGTATGGGATGCAAGCGACATGTTCCCATATCACATATGTACCTATAGAGTACTTCTGTAGATAGAGAACTGTCGACCCTTACGAAAGCACATATGTTCTCTAGAGTGCATGTAGCACGTTAATTCTGCGCACATATCTGCATGTAGAACCTACTATCGGCCTGGGACAGGAGAGCCATGCCCCAAAGAGACTTTATCTCCATTGTCTACCCTTGGGAAATATATCATGGGGTCCAACATTGGAAATGGTACCTACGCATCCCACGAAACCACCTCCAGGCATCTCCCCGGCTTCTATCAGAAACTGATATATGGGCAAGCGGATTCAAGTACGTTTCTTACAGACCTTCATAAGGAGTATAATGAGGCAAAACTGGTGTCATCACTCTGTGCATTCCAACTCATACGGTTACGTGGTCCATAATTCAAGCCCTAGCCCTCATCCCCAGGGGACCAGAACTAAAAGCTTCCCTGCATAAAACTACATGTATGCATACATAGCATATCAGGTGACATAAAACCCTGGAAACAATTTTTTTCATAACAATTCAACGACGTCAAAAAAAAAGCCCCCCGCCGCACTCTATTTTATAAGAGTACCTACTGCAGAAAGGGTCTTTTTTGGGCTGCAAGGCTTCCGCCTATAGTATAAACAACATCACGGCTTTAGCGCGCTAAAAGTAAGTACATTCCTGGCGCCTCGATTGTGGTTGTCGGCGGAAAACACACAGGATTCTAGCCTAGCAATAGGGGTTTGCGCAAACGACCTCAGATCAAGGAACAATTGACCTATTCCCTGTTTTGGCCATATTGGTAGTCGACGTCGCTGAAGCTTCCACGAAATTTCTTCTGGGTCTATATATATTTATCCCATGTTATTGCGTTGCACTTCCTAACTTAGAAGCAGTCATAGGATACCCCCAATAACTAACCTTGTAAGCAAGTGGCAGCTGAAAAGGTGCCAAGAAGGGTGATTAGTATTGTAAATGGCAAGATATAACGAAATATCATCTTCCTATAAATACTTTAAGGACAGGATAGAATTCAAATTTTCATCTCCAGGTATAATTCAATAACGGCTCTTTCAGCGGATGATTTAGCTTACTGTATGTTCCAAGAAGCCTTAGCAACCCGAGTAATATCTGTGCATTCTGTATGAATTACCATACATGTAATCCTAGAGACGGCTCGTACTCTACTAGAATCCAGTACCACATCGTTTTGGCTTTTAGTGCGAGGCTTTGCCAAGAAGACATCCTTATTAGGATTTAACTATGTAGCAGATACTTCATGTAGATAGCCATATCACCAGGCTGGAATAAGCGGGTATGGTAAGGCAACATATGGCTGATTTACAAGAGTGTTCTCATGATCCCCGAGACACTCTTCGTAAAACAGCCATATAGTAATCTGCAGGAAACAATAAGCTCCCCCGGGGCGTATATTTGCTGAAAAAGTGCCACACCCACACCAGCGATATACTTTGCATTTCTTAAGTCGCCCTAACCCGGGAGACCGGGTACTTCGAATATGTCAAACTGCCGCACACCCGCATCCTTTCCAGTATCATGGGATGCCCGAAACGAAACAATAGTCGCGGGCAGATGCATTAGAGCGCTAGATCTGACGATCAAGGTACTTGAAGATCTAGGGATATGCGGTATACTACCCGTAGCATTGGTTTTTCCAAACGATTTGGTTGGGTCGTCGGACATGCAATTTGTTGTCTTTGGCGCCGGTGTGGGGGATTGACCTGGTTCTGTTCCCCGGGCAATGGTACCGCAGAGCTGCAGCTAGCTGTATTGAAGAGAGTTATTTTTTAAACTGCCTATCTTGATCCACTTTAGTAGAATATGGTGTGTTCTGTTGTTGGTTCCATGAGTTGATATTCGGGTTCCCGTGACTTTGGGTTGATATGAGTGAGTACAGACATGTCCCCCACATTGATGCAGTGAATTTGAAAGTTGTCTCGGAGAAATAGAGTGGGTTGAATTCCAAGACAGTTATTAACCATGGCTCCTCATGGAAATGATTCCCAAAACCAAGAGGATAATAGATTGCGAGTATTTCAAAGCCCTAATGCAGCAATATGGCCATGATGAATCACTCTCGTGATTCAAGGGAAATTCCTTCAAAGTAGGAATCGTTAGAGGAATAGTACATCATAAAGTGATCTGAACATATCTCGATCAGCAATTTAGGGAGAATCCGAGGAACTTATCTCAGTTGTCTCCAGCATAGTCTTCAAACACTAAATATCTCGATTATTTTTCTCGGATTTCAACGAAGGTAATACTACAACGTGATTAAAATCTTTGAAATCCAGTAATTAAGATGACCTAAGGTTGGCTGAGGTGGCCCTCAAATACCAATTATTACCACTATTGACGTATCAATGTTTCAATGTTTTTCAATAAAGCCTCAAATGAACCCGAGGTTCACATAAGATTAGCGCCATCACAGCCAATTATATCACGGTGTTCTCAATTACATACCACGTGGTCGCAAAACCCAACAGCTTTTAAGAACGGGGAAGTCGGAAGGAGCCTCCTCCACGTGTAGGTAATTCCTCAATCAGATTTACAACGAACGATACGGAATGATTCCATGACTAATTAGTACTATCCCGAGACCGCGGAATGCTAATTTCATTCCGGTACCGGCCACCCGGAAGTTTCCAGTTGTCCGCATCTGTCATCACTAGTGGCCGAATGTCAATAGTTTGACCCGGAAATACACATAAATACGAATAAAACTCTATTAGTATTATATGGTGACAAACACCGCATCCTGAATGTATCCGAAATTAGAGCGGGCCTTTTCGCATCTCACTGACGCTAACGGCTTTGTTGATATCTCAATAATGTTGTTTGTTTGACGCGCCGGAAGCAATATTGATGACGATGATCCGCTATCAATCACGATAACTCGAACATGTTTTGTAACAAGGTCTCTTTCCAGGTGAGGACGATTTATGACATTAGCCTTGCTCGGCATGCTTCCTGCAGTATATTTGCCGATCATGTTGGATCTATTTTTGCAACACTCTGACAAGTAATTGCTTTTCCTGTGTTATCAAAATGATTTTACTGATGTCTTAGATACCCTCTAAGCCACTTTACTTCCCCGGATTATATAATAGACCGACATACCGTTATCAGTTGTTCTAGAAGGAAAGAGTACCTATATTTAAGGTTCTTATCGATATTGTGGAGATTTTTTTTTTGGTTCGTACAAAAGCAGAAACGTACGGCACCAACAAGATAAAACATTATACTAGGCGCATGGAGAGGCGGTTCGAATGTAGAGACTACCGGAGTATTAGAGAGTTCAGATGAAATTGGCGCATTGACCCGTTGCACTAACTGCACTGTCACAAACAAACAAGCTTGAGGAATGTTTAGCCTTTTTAGGGCTCCGGTGAGGTGGGTGGATTATTACCATTTAGCAGCGGAGCAGGAGAGCAATGGGGCTTCTTTCTTTTACGCCGCAATTGGAAAAGCCACAGAGGTGAGATTTCATGCACCAAGTACGTGTATGTAGGAATGTCCTTGTAGAGTTGTATCGCATTAACGCTCCAACCACGGCTCAGTATATTCAGGCACCGATTTTCTCTTCGCCCGAGCCGCATTTGCCTTACTGGAGGATGTCAGCCATCCATCTCAACAGCCGCAACATCTCGACCCAATTTTGGGATGAAGCTTCGTCATAATATAAGAGCGAGAGCGGCGGTAGTGGTGCACAATGTGGCATGCCCACTCTATCTCAGGAATATCGGTAGCTCCAGGTTTTGAATAGAAAGTGTTGTAGGAAAGCACAAAGATGAGCCTCTTGGCTTGCAAGGGTCGCAGGTGCCCCTGGACTTACCCTCATCTAGCCAAGCGCCGCCTGCAGGGAATCCCAACCCCAGTTGAGGGGAAAAAGAGGAAGGATCTCAACTTCTGAGGGCATACTGAAAAAAGGAAAGATCTCTCGATGGAGTTTCTGAATAGAAGATATCTTGTTTTCAGCTCTTTCACGTAGAGTGGATGCATCTGAAGGGAAGAAGGCAAATCTCCGAGGGGACGGTTGTCCTCGCGGGGGCCGCGCGTGGGCACCGCCGCTGCTGCCAAAGCTGATGCTGATTCTGTGGCTTCTGCAGCAGGTACGTACGCCATAGAAGAGGATGGATTCGGTACTGGCCGCGCAAGTCTGATGTTTGGAGGATCGTGTAGGGCAGCAGGTAGAGTATCGTCGGTTGGTGTTCCGTTCCCCGCACTTGTTCCTGGACCTGAACTCTTCTTTTCACGAATCAGTGTAAAGGGTGTTTCCTTGTTTCAAACGTTCCTTATCCACTCCGGAGGGCGGTGTTTCCTGTACCTGAACTCTTATTTTTGACCTAGCTTGCAAGGTGTGCTATACAAACAACAAGAGAGCCCCTCCTTATTCTAGCACCGGATCGTTCATGCGAAAGCTTCTCTATTCCGCATTTGTAGGCATATAGATTATAGGTACTCTAGTAGAGATTATCGAGTAGAGTAAAGTAGATGGCTACATATATACATACATTACGATCCCACCAGATGCCTCATGTAGGATGCACTTTAGTACTAACTTAACCTGCGGCTCGAGTTCCGGATGCACACTGCTGTAGAAACTCTTAATATCCTCGCTCCTTCGCTTCAGTCCTCTCCACATACATGTAGTGTCGAGGGGGGGGGGGGGCCTCGGATTCTGTCCTTTCATATCACCTCATCTTTTCGTCTTTCATCATCTTTCTCTTCCTCTCCACTAGGGCTACTTCCTATTCTATCCCAAAGTCGCCCACGCCCCTCGTCTACATAGTACTCCAGTAACCCACTCACTTACTCACTCGTGGGGTACTTTTTTCAATCGTTTCTTCCGTACATATATACACATTCAATACACCCACCTACATTACCCCCTTTGTGTCCACTGTCCGCTTTCTTTTTCGCTGTGAGCGTTTCTGCAGCCACTCTCTGTCCAGCTCACGTAGCTCTCATTACCTCCCATCCATTCACTTGTTCGTGCCAGTACATACTATTACGCTTTCGGAGATTCTAACTTGTTGGAGGGCGCCTTCCACTCTCGCTTCCCCCTTCCCACCCAAACAGCCGGAATGCAATTCAAACAACAAGGCTGAAACTACCTCCCATCTCTGCTATTCACACAGAAATTCCATGTGTACAGATTTTCAGGACTCTTACCACATTCTTGCCTAGATCATACTTGTACACACTCTGTAGTTCCTGCTCTACCGCCTCCGTTCAACTTAAGCCCCTCCACTCCCTTCTCCAACCCTCCCCCCACAACGATCAACCACTACAGCTACGGTTACACTCTCCAGCCTTCATAACAAGCAGCTACCTTACTGCGAGGCCTGAGCATACTTCAAACTTGATCGACGACTTCCGGTCCACTCGTGAACAGCTTCCACACACACACCTAAGAGAGGACTAAGGAACCAAGAGAAAAAACACAAAGAATTACGCAAGGGGCCCACATCCAAAACCCTGACATCCGTCAACTGCAGCCAGCCAGGGGTGTTCCTCGTTCCAATCATCCACTTTTCCGGCCGAAATCAGTCAGAATTGCATAGGAATTCTTGATAATACTTTTGTCGTTTTTTTTCTTGTGTTTGAACTATTTGCTCGAGAGAGCGTGGTTCCTATCATGGGCAAGAAAGATCCCAAAACTGCTGCCTACATGACAAACGGGACCAATACAACAGGCAACAAGAAGACCCATGAAGGTCACAAGACAACCGCCGCAACGATCGCGAAAGTAGCTGCGGCTCAGGAGGAAGTCAAGCAATCCCTCGAACCCCTTGGAAAGTCTGAACAACAACCACCAAAGGCCCCACCGAAGGATCTGAAGAAGCTTCTCAAAGGACAGCAGCCACCTTTTGGCGGAAGGTCAAACATGTCCCTAGGCGCTTCACAAACAGCGACAGCTATTCAACGCATTGCCGAGAATGGGGCTCCACCATTAAAGCTCAGCACCAACCCTTCTGGCCAGTCGTCAAAACCGCGTAAAGGGAGTTCGAAGTCTTCGAAATCTGCCTCCAAGTCGTCGACATCCTTGAACTCAGTCTCACCCTCTTCAGTCAGGCACCATTCATCTCCGTCATCTCCCGGTTCTGAGAACGCCCCTCCTCTTCCCCAACGGCCCCATCCACAACGTTCTTCTTCTGCTGAAGGTGCCAGCTTGCTTAGTATTGTCAAGAAGGGAAAGGAACAGATCCAATCAGATGGATCAAAAGTCGCGAAGTTTTTCGGCAAGAAATCCCATGAGGCCTGGGACAAGATTAAGAAGCAGAAGGAAAAGGAGTCGAAATCACAAAAGTTTGTGGGTGAAAGAAGAGACACGAGCAATGATATCGATGTCTTCGGTATGGAGTTAAAGGATGCGGTTTTGAAAACCAGAGTAGTAAACGATAGGAAGATGGTTGGTGATGGCGCGTATTGGATGCCCGCTCTGGCTTATAGGTGTTTACAGTACGTATTCATAACCCCGGAAGATTTTCAATTGAGAAATTCCATTAATTGTAAACCTCTTTTTTCTTTTTTCTTTTCTTTTTTAGATATCTCAACGTTCATGGGCCACACGAGCTGGGTATTTATCGGATATCCGGGAGCACATCTGTGGTGGATGAGCTAAGGGCGGATTTCAAGATTCGTATGTTTAAACCCCACCAACTTTTTCTAACTCTTCTTGACCTAGCGGCTAATCTGTATTTCAGATCACGATATCGATCTTTTTGATAATCCCCCGGATGATCTCCATACAGTCTCTTCTTTATTGAAGGGTTGGTTTAGGTCCCTACCTGAAGCCATTCTTCCCAATGATGTCCAGAAGCGTGTCTACGAAAAGTGTAAGGACATGACAGATGCTGTTAAACCACCGCAGGCCTTTGTAGACGAGCTATCCAACCTCCCACCATACGTAAGGACCACCCTCTATTAATTTTTTGTTGCGAGAGAAGCTCACTCAACATCACAGAATTACTATCTCCTTCATCATCTCTTCTCGCATTTGAGCGCCATTTGCGGTGCGTCAGATGTGAACAAGATGGGTCTTGCCAATCTTGGCATGATATTCTGCTCAACCCTTCGAATTGATCGATTCTGCTTCAATTGGCTAGTTAATAGCTGGTCGGACTGTTGGGCGGGCTGCTTAACTGAGGAAGAGGAATATGAAAGGACTCTTCCGCCGCCACCACGCCGCAATCCTTCGATTACATCGTCAGCTTCTCACAATTACAATCGTTACAACCAGTCTTCGCCCATCCCCTCAGAACCTAGATCAAGGTCAGCTGGTCGCGCCGATACCATGCCTAATAGCAGCGTAGACCGTTGGCCATCAAACGGGTCAAGCAATCGTCAACTTTCTAATCAATCCCCCGTACTATCATCAGGCCGGAGTAGATCTGCAAGCAAGGCCGGTACAGATCGTCTGATAGAGGCCGAAAAGGATCTAGAACGGGAGATCCGGAGACGGAGAGATCAAGACATGGCAATGTCTCGCGAGAGATCAAAAGAAACCCAACGTTCCAAAACAGATTTATCTGAATATGAAGACTGGAAAGATGCTCTAGAAAACGTCCCGCCCCCTTCTAGTACACCAACCCCACCTCCGTTTGTACCTCGCCACCCGACTCCCCCTGTGAACGCTAAAAAGGAAAAGCCAAGGGCAAGATCACCAGAGGGTTCAAGAAGCGCTATCCGTAGGCAAGACATTGAGGAGTTGAATAAACTCGCTCTTCGAAAGAAAGATATTGATGAGATGAGCAACCTTCGCATCGAAACCAATACCAATTTTCAGCCTCCTAGATCACCGGCTGGGAAATCACCAGGTGGAAAGTTCTCAATTCATAGCAATCAGTCTGATCAACTCAGTTTGAATGTGGAGACAGGATGCACCCCGAGAGGGAGCATTAGCAGCGAGCATAATGGAAAAAATTCAGGGAAAAACTCCCCAGCAATGTTGGGGATGCCATTACCGAGGATTGAGCCGATTAGCCCTATGTTGAAGGAGGGAGGAATGCTTTGAACGGCGTAGAGGAGGTTGCTATGGACTTTTTGACTTCGGGATTGTTTAAAGTTTATTTTTACCCTTTAGTTTCTTTTAATATGTGCTTGCTTGTGGAGCTTTTCCCTTTTTGGGTTACCATTAACCCTCTGGCAGGATTAATTAATTGGTATCTGCTTATTGTGGAATTGAAATCACAGCACTTCCCGCACTCTCTCTACGTCATTATACAGCATCTTATTTTTTCTTTTGGCCTTTCTGAGTAAGTGTTTTTTTTTTTCTTTCTCTCTTTACAGCGACGGTGAGCCGTTTTGGTGGCTTTTTTTTTTTTTCAAGTTTCTCGGTTGGAGTTGAGCGTAGCATTTTCAGTGCATTGTCATTGTCGTTTTCTTTATTCCATTAATTTCCTATGTTCTGGGTTCCATGGGTGATACGAGTTCCTTTCTTATCGTTCTTCCTCTCTCTCCTATTTGTGTGGTCCGGAATAAGATCACTGCAGAAACACGGCGGGTATACGGGGCGGTGTACAGCTCTCGGCGGCATGTGGCGTGGGCATAATGTATTTTTTTGTACCTCCTTTTCTATTACTGACTCGTCTCGCCCGTCCAACTCGTTCGCTCGTTTAGAGACACACCTACGTACATCCTCCATCCATCCACTCGCTACTACCTACTACTACCTACCTCTACTACTAAAGACCTGCTACTTGCTACATCTTTATATTACATACATGTAGGCTGCAATTTTCCAGTTTGAACCATCCTCGTTTCTTTTTCATTCTTTCCAGTTTGTCTTGTGCGTGTTTTTAGAGTTTCGAGATACACCCTGCTTTTGATTGAAACAAGTCGATTGATGGAGGCTGCGGTGAATGGAAAAGAATGAGAAAATCCGGTTCGGATGAAAAAGAGTTCTAATTGTGACAAATGATTTGGAATCCGCCTTGTGCATGCCTTGTTACATAGTGAATAATGGGAAAGCTCCGTTTGGCTGGGAATCCTATGCCTACATGTAGAAACGTGGAGTTCCTGGGACAGATCCAGGAACGGCCGCGGATCAAGATGTCGAGTCATGAATGGTGATCAGTAGAGCAAACACGACTCATGATGGTAAATACATGTAACTGCACGTAGAATACTACATGCAGTGCTTGTGTTGGATGCCAGACTCGGGGCCTTACTTTGCCTACCACTGTTAAAAAATCAATACCGTCCGTACTGCCGGGGGGTGTATAAATAAACAATTTATTCCATATGTACTACATGTATGCATGTACTTCTGGCCATTGGTTCTGTTCTTATTCGGTCTTGATCTTGTTGTGCGCGTACTGGTGAGGTCTATTGCGGTGCGTTCGCGGGGTGACATTGTATTAATTTTAATAGGACAAATCCACAACCTAGAGCATGATATCTATAAAGTACTGCATATATGTACTGATATACATGTTTGTTTAGTAGTATCGGTTGCGTTTGGGCTCTCCCACCGAAACAGTAACTGAGCGATGCCTCAAGCCATTTGTAGAAAGTTCAGCTACACTAAATAATTGTACGCAGTGAGAAACTTATTTGATCCTAGCAAATGCTTTATCTTTTATGTACTTGACCGACCAGATACCAAGTAATTTAAGAATGTACATCAGACCGTCACTATTAGTAGCGGCAGTAAGGTACGTGGCTCCACGAGGCACCTTCCAGCTTAACAAATTCTTCTTTAACCACGACCGCCCACCCCATCTGAGCATCCCCCATCTGAACACCCTCCATCTTAAGATCATTCTCCATCTTTAGATACTCTTCTTTCATCTCCACATCCTCCATCTTGATATCGAGCTCGGGTTTGAATTCCGTTTCTGTCTTGATTTTGTGTTCAGTCTTGATTTCGTGTTCAGTCTTGATTCCAGGCTCAGTCTTGATTTCGAGTTCAGACTTGATTTCAGACTCAGCTTTGATTCCAAGCCCAGTCTTGACTTGGAATTCAACCTTGATCTCGAACTCAACCTTGATTTCAAACTCAGACTTTATTCCAAACTCAGGTTCAATGTCGAACTCAGTCTTGTCCTCCAAGTCCTCTTTGACTTCTGGTAACTCGATATCGTCCTCCAACTTAAACTCCATCTTAACTTCAGGCTCGACAATAATCTCATTTCTTAGCGGTTGGGTTGCTTCGAGTTGTCTGCGGTTTACCTCCAACTGTTGTCCACGCTCTTCGAGTGCCGCCCGGCGCTGTTCAAGATCTACCTCCAACTGCTGCCCCACGTTATCCCCCCTCTGAATAGCTCCTCTATTCTGTCCGCCTTGATCATGATGATCAAGTAATTCTTCTGAGCCATTATATCAACTCACTTAACATCTTATTTCGCTTTATAGTAGGGGAAGTGTGGTACGAACCTGCGGCTAGACTCTCAGCTTTCCTCCGTGCTCTCGCGAGCGCACTAATCCTCGCTGCCGCTCTACACTGCAACCTCCTATGACTGATTCCTCCCATTTGGTTAACTGAGAGCTAAGCGTTGGTTCGATAAGAGAAAATGTTGCTTTGAAACGAAGTCGATAGGATGGATAAGTAGCTGTATAGAGGTAATAGAAGAAAAAAGGAGAGCGATCCGAGATATTAAATATGTTATACTTATGCATGAACGTCGAATCCTTGGCGTGTGATCTGATGTTTTGTTGAGGGTGTCCGAAAGCTAAGATAATGTAACACTTTATGGGCATGTAAGCCCGTGCTCGTTTCAATACATGTAGGCAAATGAATAAAATGGTTGGTGTTCATCAGTGAAGTCAATCCAGTTTTGGTATTGAATATCAATAGAAATGTTGAATGATAATACATGACTTACGTGGCTGTATCTGGGGTGGCATTGGCCTTGCTTCCGCAACGCTCTTAGAGCATCTAAACCCACAGGCAAGCTTTAGACTTCTACCCGCTAGTAAAGGATGCCTGCATACGCGTAGATTCTCTTGCTAACTACGAACTAACTAAATGAACACGTCTTCTCTGCAAGGCTACAGTCTGCCAACCTTTGGGGCTTTCGTCGAGTGATAATCCATGAATAACGTCTTGATTGACGTCATGTGTGGAATTGGCATCAAGTACTCGCCGAACTCATACCAGGAGTATCCTAGGAAATAAACTTAGAGTGTGTATTGACTTTGGCTCGCCGTGCACATATGTGGACCACATAAATCAGCACCACCACATCGCTCAGTATCCAACGGCTAGTCACGTAGCAACCAGGGACAAGACACTATGGAACTATCAACCCTTTTAGATCCTGTGGATGCTTTGGCCTATCATTTTAGGTCCTTTGGTGCCGAGCTTGCTGCAAACAAAACGCCTCTCAGGTTTGTCAGACTATTCCTTGTTCCACTCCACACTCCTTCAGAGCTGATCACAGTCATCTTCTGGTAGGATCCCTTCCTCGCTGAAATCACAACTCAACGAGAAACTTGGTACGTCCGGATTGGAAGGGACTTTAACCGTAAGCTCATCTTGCTTCTGAGAAGCCGTATCCTAACCAAACTAGGCTCCTTACAGTTCTAAGACCACCGCGAATCTTGTCAGCTCTATCAGCAATGAAGACTTTGAGCGGTGGTGCCTGCTAGATGCCACAGCATTCATCTTTGTTACAAGAATTCTCCTCGAAGCAGAGCCTTGTCTAGCAAAAGATCAGGGCTTTTTTCGACTGATAGTGAGTATCTTACTTCTGGTAAGACTTTAGATACTCTTCATAGACGAGATCTAACGGCTTAGGAGGCTCTTGAAACGTTGCGGGATCAGAGTAGCGAACTATCGATGCCAGAGAGACTGTTGACTATATACAAAAATACCATTGGAGAGTCCCTTGCCGCCAAGTTACTTGATACCTTTATTGACTGCGAGGAGTCTGGATTCTCGAGACGTTGGGCAGGCATGTTGCTTGTTGAGCTATTGGAAGAATCCGAAGGAAACAAAGATCGTGTTTGGAAAATGCCCCACAAGTTTTTGTAGGATCCCTGCTTAGATTACAAAGCGCTCGTTTCCATTGCTGATGGTTGATTTGGCGTAGCAAGGATATAGGAGAAATCATTATTAGTGAAGGTGATAGGATATTGAAGATAGTCGCGGGCAAGATCATTTGGCAGTTAACGCAGGCCATCGAGGGTGAAGAGGAGATACGGCAACGCTTACCCACGTTTTGCCAGCCAGATATAGCTGGGGATTTTACTAAGGGATTCCCCTTGCAGAGCGGTTCACAGTGGGAGAGTGGATTTGCTAGTTTCATCAATGAGATGGAACTAAATAGATATGACCTGGACCTTGAGTAAGTACATCTTATAAGTCCCCATTATTACCATTTAACTTGAACGAAGAATAGTCCTCCAAATGGCTACACCGCTGCCCAGGTTATGCTCGGGAAAAACAGCCCCATAAGTTCTGACATTGGAGCAATCACGATAAATATCGCCGAAATCTTCAGCATATATATTCCACCAAATGTGGATCGCTCTCCCGACTGGGTAGATCTTAAAATCGTTAATATTAGCAAGATCGAGTTCACAAAGCAAATCTTAACCGAGAATTCAATGAATGACCTCATGTACTTCAAACTTCATTTACACGACTACGACCAGGATGGGTATCTTTATCTACTCTCGATGCGACCGTCTTCAGATTCAGATAGCATTACAATTCTATGCTATAAGAACGAGGCGGAAGTCTTTGCTGGAGACATAGAGAAATGTCGAGAAAAGGTGCTGCTGCGTAGGGGTAGACGGCAGATAAGTAGTGCACCATTAAGGGATATACAGGCAAACCCCGAATACCGCAAATCCCAGCAAGAGAAGATAAATGAACTTGAACGGCACCGAGAAGATATTTTGAAGGTGTTGGAGAGTCCAACAGCCAAGAGTGATGATTATGCTAGTTCACTGACAGATCCAGATGAGTTCGAGGACGGATGGGATATGAGTCTATCGGGATATAAAGCGGTGGGACCGCAAAAGGGTGAGAGCGATATAAAGGAGAGGGAGAAAGAAGATGCGAGAATTGATCCAATGGCGGCAGGGATATCAGAAGAAGTCATTATTATCAACCCTACCAAGAAGCCCTCAACACCCGAACTATTAAGACAAGGACAGCGCACACCTATCTCTTCTCTCAAAGACCCTACCAAGACATCTGATATTATCCCCGAGTCAAGTCTCGCTGCCCCCATCACCCCCGACTTTGACCCCAAACATATCCGCGAAGCTACCACGGAACGCTTTTCGTCATCTCTAAGACCTTCAGCATCCGCTCATGAGTTGCAAAAGGTTATGAAGTCAAAGTTACCGCCTATAAATAGTTCCCAGCCACCCAGAACCACAAATTCCAACTACAAAAAAGGTCTGGAGGAAGTTTTTGAGATTCTCAAGGGGAAAACGCCTAGTAAATTATGGGATAATCCGAGGCATCATCCAGATACATTCGCAGACGAGCAAAGAGAAGCCAAATTATCAATGAAGACCTCAACGTTGAAAAGGCCGGCAACACCCCAAAAAAAACACGAAAATATATATAAACCGAAGCCTGCTAGCAGTGCCAAGCTTTTGAAACTCCCTTCAGAAGCTTTAATGGTTCATGGAGAATCTACAAAGTCAAAAACTGAACACTTTGACATCCCAGTGATGGATAATTCACATAAGAAATTAAAAGATAATCGCTCGTTTTCAATTTCCGAGAAAGAGCCTTCTCGAAATTCACCAGTTAAAGAAAACAGTTTACCCATCCCAGTTGAAAAAAAGTCTAAGGAAACCATTAAATCTTCGGTGTTTGGTATCCCCGATGATCTAAAGAAATTGCAGACCCCTCCTCATACTTATGGGACAAAAAACAGAGCAAAGGGGGCATCCAAGCCAAAAGGGAAGACTTTAAACAAAGACGGTCCCCCAAATAAGAATAACTTACAGGTAATGGCTACCAAGTTAGCCAAGACTCGTATCCCGCCTGTGAAAATAGATAAGGAAATATTACCACCATCAGATGATGCTAGTATTTGGGAGTTACCTGTATCTGAGGAATCAGAAATAGAGTCGAGAAACGAGAAAAAGAAAGGAACGATAGACCTCAAAATGTTGTCCCCGAAGAAGCCAGCTCCCAAGTCGAGGCAACCTATAAAACCAAAACCACCGCCCAAGAAAAGGGTTTATGGAAAGAAATCTGTGGCAAAACCGGAACCAAAATCAAAAGAAATTATTTCAAACTCTGACAAAGAGTTGGAAGTAGAATCTCCACCTACACAGAAGCAAAAGCAGAATTCTAGATCAAGGAACAAATATATTCCAAAGACTGTGCCTGATAAAATAAGTTTTGAGCAAGACAACAAAGATAAATCGGATGATCAAGTGGCTGCCTACTCGCTCAGGCCAAAGGTGAAACCGAGGCCGAAACCAAAATCAAGGAGTGCCCCTGCATCTGGATTAACAAATCGCACATTACCCAAACGCAACGAAGATGAGCAGATGAAATCCTCAGAAATGGAGTCAATTCGTGCATCAACACCTCCAACTCCAACACCGAAGCCGAGGAAAAAAGAACTAGCCAAATTGACCCCGGCAAAACGTACAGTGTTTGAAGATAGTGATGATGATGAGCATGCAAGGCCTTCTTCTCAAAGGTCGGGTTCAAAGACTGCTTTAAAATCTGTCTATGCATTAAGATCAGCTAAACATAATGAAAGTGAAGAAAACTGGTTGGAATCTTTGAAACAAAAGAAACCTCCCACTACCTCGACAAAAATAAAGAATGCTATGGAAGTCATCCTGGCATCGGTACCTACTAAACGTGCTGCTTCTCCAGATGGCAATGATGATAATGTCAATAGAGGTGACATTGGCCCGCTAAATAAGAAAAAAAAGCCGGAACAATCAAAGATTAGCCAAACGACCGAAAAGGCACGTCGACGGCCGCTTTCAAAGAAGGCCCTAGAAAATTCGAAAAAGCGCTTAAAAACAGACGCGCCCCTTAATACAAGTGAAGCAGACCAGGATAGTTCATGGAGGCCCAAAACTCGTCTGCAAGCGAAGTTAGAACTTGCCAAAAGTTCTGTCGAAACCAAGAAGGCTAAGATAGATAAGGCAAAAATTCCTAAAGCAGACTATAGTGAAGAATCTATCGATGAGGTTAGAACTACGGGTCAATCATCCAAGAAATCTAGTCGTAGGGTGCGCCAGCGAAAAACTGTTCTGAGCGAGGAATCTTGCGAGGATGATTTTGAAGAAGCCTCTTTGAAGCCATCGAGTGCTATAGTTATCAAAACTTCCGAGAAAGAGTATTTTCCTCCAAAGGATAAGACCGATCTCACTGATAATAAAAGTTCGTCCAGCGAATCGGAAATAGGAGGGAAAACTTTTATAAGCCGAGTGATTTCTGATGATGGCTCCCAGAAACCGGATGAATCTCAATTAAATAAAAGGGGAGTACTCCCTACAGACTCTAAGGGAGCTTTCGGAGAGAATCAGGCACCT